GCTGAAGCAGATTTCATACAGCCAACATTTGAATAGAACGATATGTCGGAAGATAAATGGATGTCTAAATAGTTTTCGGATAAAACTTCGTTTAACTCTATCTTTAACTCTACGTTTAACGAAGTATTGGACTACGTTGTTTGAGTTTTCATTAAGACAATTATCACAACACTTGATCGCTGAAGAGTCGTTCGCGAAACAGTCGTGTCACGAGAACATGATTTTTTTGAGGAGAAAATATGAAGTTCTGGTGAAGAAACATAATATTTTTGAGGAAAAAAGATTTACCTCCTGCGAACTAGCAGCGGGTTTTTGAGGATAAAACGTGATTGAACTCCGAGTTTATCTGTAAAAAGAATTAAGTTCTTGCGAGAACATATCTTGTTTCTGCGGAAGAAAGATGAGCCTACTGCCAGCTTATTAAAGACTGTTATGAAGACATTGCTCGGATGGACCCCGAGGCTTATATTGACGCCACGGGGAAGTGTTATGTCAGTGATGTACTGACATAATTGTTCTCATGTGTCATTCTTTCCTTGTGTCATGCTTATTCTTCTTTACCTCACATTCTTTCTTCGACTGACCATTCCTTCTTTGACTCATAGTGCTTTATATACCTGTACATAGGCTTGTGCTATTGCTGGAGATTCAGAGTTTTTTTCGGTTTGAATGATACTACGAAACGCTTTGAAAAAAACAAATAAAAACGCTAGACCGGCAAGTTCCATCTCCTGATTACAAATATGGTATTAGTATTACTAGAAAACGTTTAGGAGTTGAAAAAATTCAATCTTTTCGTGAAAGTCACTTAAAAGCCTATTCTAATTTTGACAATAAAAAATTCGTAAGTGCTCATGGATAATGTTTTTGCCACCACAATTTCAGGTTTTGTAGCAGTCAATATCAGACTGTTTTTGTGCAAGCGGAGTCTTGGTTGAAAGTCAGTTGATGTGAACCTTTTGCATTATTTACTCGTACAAAACGCATTGAGACAGTTGTCTTACACGTTTCAGACAGAAAAAGATTTTTTCCCGCGGGCGCTTTGAAGTTGGTCTAACACTGTACAACTGTAGTCAGTGAGAAGCTCGGTTAGTTGGAAAATATATCGACAATGAATATTTAATAATTATTAACTTGAAATTGAACGGCAAATCCATATGTAGGCTTATAAGCACATGTCCATACATAATCATTTTCGACATAGTATGATAAATTTGTTAGTGCAGCATAATATTCTTTTCTGCCGTACGTACGATATGCACTACCACTAAGGTTATTTGCGAACCAAACGCCCACATATTGACCTTGTTGAATGTACAATGATGGAACAATGTTAAACGTTTGGACGCCGGTTTGATTTAGAATATCGCTCAATGGTACAGTGTAATAAGAAGGAATGTAATAAGTTGTATTGATGCGTGTTGCACCAATAACATTGATGGTGATCCATGCCTGACTGGGCGATGGAGAAACAGAAAAATTAATTGATACTTGAACAAGAAAGCCGCTGGCATTCACCACGTCGAGCGCATTGAATATTAAGTATCCAAAATCATTATCATCTACACCAGTATTGTTTAAGGTGCCGTAGGTTGTGTTTAATGCTTTGAAGAATATAGGCATAATGATTGATTTTTTTATGGTGATATCCATTCCCCTAAAGCCTTCTTCTACATATGTCACCAGATTCTAGAATTTCCCTAAGAGGTGTTACACATAAGTCTCTGCCTTGAGATCTATTGCTTTCTATCTGCTGCATCTGTTATCGACAGCCCAACGGAGCCGAATATAAAAATGATTAAATTCAGATGTCTAATTTTATTTATAACAGCTCTGTAGATATTTCTAATTGTGAGGAAACACACCACACAAACAGCCCCATGCTGACGCTTCCAACATCTATGTCCCCTCGCCCTTTTTTCGACGAACACAATCTGCTTTATTAACTTTTATTTTGGCCGCTTACCTGTCGCTTGTCAAAAGTGGTGTAAAAGTGTTTTGTTTCAAAAGCATAATTACCTTGATTTGTTGACGACACTAAAGAATAGAATTAAAATAACGGAAGCCGGTTTCGATTCCAGTGGATAGACATACCATTTGAGATAAGGATGAAAGTAGATGCCATACCAGCCGATGAAGTTTGAGAAAAATAACCGGCAAAAGTCCCGGTTATATTTGCACCGCTTATTCGATATCGATTTCGTCCACCAGCAACACGATAGGGACTACCACTCGACTGACCAAAGCCAACGCCTAAATATTGTTTATCTTGAATGATCATGTTAGTAGTGATGGGTACGATAATTGTTTGTACGCCTGTTTCATTCAATAATTGATTATTAGGTACTAGATATTGTTTGACGACGACAAATGATTGTAGTGAATCGTTTCGGAACATTGGTGCAAGAATATAAAACCAAAGAGCAGCGACATTCGGCACGGGCGCTTGATAGAAATTGATGGAGACTTGTTGAATGTAGCCCGTTGTATTGACAACATCCATCAGATTCAATACGGTATAACCGTTATCACCGTCGTCCATACCACTCGCGTTGCTTAGACTACCGTGTATTGCTGGAAATATTACGAACTAGTTTAACAGACGGAAAGCAGAAAATGAAATTATGAAATTACCGGTAATTAGTGATGACGTTTGCGTTGTGTCTCCATTCCATATTGTTGTAACTATAAAAAAGGCGTCGGTAATTATGTGAACGACGTAAATCTATTGCTCGATTCGAATATTTCTCACACACTCATCTACGATACTTTGGCATTCAGAGGCACCCTTTTATTCAAACAGTTTTATTCCAGTCAGATGAACGCATCATCGAATGTATTTTTCAGGTATTTAATGATTCGGCAGTTGGGTAGACGCTAAGAACAATAACTTGGAATTACTTTATAAGGCTTCTTTCAAGGGATTTCTTGAACGTATATTTCGATTCATCTATCAACAGAAGAATGAAAATGTTACTCAAAATACGGCATGTTTAACATTATTCAGCACAGGGCAATCAACGTTTCATCCTCGCGAATTTTGTCAAGGCTGGTTGTTCTCTCATTGATATTTGTGACTCGGAGCCATTGTCAACAATAAGAGAAAAACCTATTTCCGGAACATCTCTTCCATTTAAATTAAAAAACATCACTCTTGAAAAATCTATTATATTAGTTTTGTAAATACGTTTAAGTTCGATTTAAATAGAAGAGATGTTCCGAAAATAGGTTTTTCTTTTATTGTTGGCAATGTCCCCGAGTCACAAATATCAATTGGCGAACAACCTGCCTTGACGTACGAGAAACAGCTTATCTTTCAAATATAAAAATAATTAGTTCTTTATCTATATGGAACAACTATCTCTCAAGAGACATTTCGGCATTTTATCTCACGCCACGACAGCAAGAACGAGTTTGCAGCCTATGTGCCTTTTATTTAAAAAGGGTTTATCGCTGTTATTATCTCGACACAAATTTCTTTTTTTCTGTCTCCGGAGAACGTACCTTTTTGGATTATGTTTTCCGGTATTGAGCAAAATATTTATCGATCTTGTACGAGCAGACTGATACTATTTGTTTAGTCGACACCTGGTATTCGTATCACCGGATAAGAAACCAAAACTCCCAAAACCATCAGAAGCGACTTCTAGTCTCAAGATACAGACACGTTTTTTCGCTTTCCGCGAATTTTTTTATTTTCCACCTACAGTCATTTGATCTTTTTCGTCGAGACTTTCATACAATAAGACTAAATTTAAAATTATATCTCACATACCCTGACGCTTGCATGTTTTAAACACCACCTCCAGCTAACACTAGTCATCTGTCATTGCTCCTTTTTTAATCTGTATAATATAAACATTAATTTTTTCGTTTTTTGTAAACACTCATCAATCTCTTAACCGTATCCAGCCTCAATCAGCTCAGAAATCGAGATAATATGTTTGTCCTGTCACTTTTTGCTAATAAACTAACAAACAGACATTTCTGCATCAAAATTACGTTTGAAAATAGTTTTTAACCGTGGAAGAAGTCTTGTAAAGTAATGCTGCTCTTAGTGGCGGATTTTAATGCTGAATTTAGAACTTTATTAACACAAGAACGGGACGGGATATTTTGTTCACTGATGCAACTCCTTGAGACTTATAAACTACTGTACAAGCTAGACGATTTCGTTCATCGTATGTCACCCTTATATACCTCTGAAAAAATACGTTTTCCTCGGTATTTTAAGGATATTGTTACCAAAAGAACGTATTCTTTCTAAAGTAACGACATATTCTGAAAGCCCGTGAAATTTTACATCATCTTGCATATTTTTATTTTTGTTTGGATCGCTGTGTAGTAAAAATTATTTCAATGAAGTGAACACACCCTCAGTACCTCATTTGCACACACTTAATACAATCATTGTTATCT